CTACAATAAATCAAAAAATCAGCCGGGCGTGGTGGCGCATGCCTATAATTCCGGCTACTCAGAAGGCTGAGGCGGAATGATCGCCGGAGCCCAGCAGGCCGAGGCTGCAGTGGCCGAGGCTGCAGTGGCTGGGAGCGGCCACTGCACTCCAGTCTGGGCGACAGAGTGAGACTCCAAAGTTCTACTTCTGTTTTCTACAACAGCACATAGTTCACAATTGATCACATATTGCCTTGAAATAAAACTCAGTGGGTCACTTCTAAAAAGTCAGGTATATGTGATATATTCCATCAACAACAAACTTCTGAAAAGGAATTATATGAAACATTATAGTTTCTGAATTAGAATTTTCTGATTATAAATATCAGATAAGCAATTAGAATATTTAAAAAATTATTATGAAACATTTAAAAGCACCACTTTCCTTTGCCCATAGGTTAAATAGCACCTCCCTAGCCTTTCTATGATTACAGTATTTATTGATCATTGCATGTTTACTTTCTTCATAGTCACAATACATAATTATTTATTTGCTTGTTTACTTTCTGCCTTTCTCTGGAGAGAGTGTTAACACTACAAGGGAAGGGACCTTTTTCTGTCCTATCCTCTGTATTTCTATGGCCTGGCACAACTTATTGCTTAATAAAAAATGTGCTGGATTGAATAAATGAAAATGCCCACAGTGTGCAAGTAGCTAGAAAGGTGTAAGACAGTTGGGTTTCTATTCTTAAAAATAACGGAGGTGATTAAATCCAGAACATGCAAATTCGCTAAATAAGATTAAACACCAGTCCGATAATAAATATAAAGACAGCACGGGAAAAAAGATTCCTTAAAAATAAACGATAGCATGAGTGATATATTTAAAGACTCCTTAGAATTGGATCATGTTCCTGAAGTAAAATGGGCAGGTCTCCACAAAGTGCCAGGGTTCCAGAAAGTCTCTTCGAGGTAGTAAATGTCAAATGTCCTTCTGAAGGAAAAATGACAAGCTAATGTCTAACTTTACAGGGAGTAGTCAAATCTTACCCACACCATAATTGATACAATCGGATACTAGAGGAAGTGATTAGTCTTAATTTGGGGTTGGGGGGAGAAGGGAGGAACTCCAGACGTTTAATAAAACTCACAGAAACATTCACACTTTGCTTCCTTTTCAACTTCTTTGGGTCAATCTGAGCTACCACAACATCTGGACATTGAGCTGCTTCGATCCTACAAATAAGTAATACATGCAAGAAGTTTAATCACTATTGTGCTATCTAGCGCCACAGTTCATGGTGAAACTAGAACAGAATAATTTCAGACTTCCCTTAAGGTACTACACACTGTATTTCTGAAATCATCTGGATTGAAAACAAAGACATCGAAGAGCACACAACTTGATACGTCCGATAAAGTTAAACAGAATCTCGCCCACATCATGCTGTAACCCAGGATCCTGAGTTGACCCAACTCGCCGGGGACGGGAGCCGGAATAGGCGCGGGGGTTTTACCGCACCCAGAGTGTGAGCGCGGTACCCGGCGCAGTACCCAGGGGCGGGGCGGACGCCCACCCGCACGGGGCCGCATCACTCACTGGACCCGCCTCAGGTATTCCTGAGGCGTCCTCGGGGGTACCGAAGGATCGAAGCCTTCCGTCAAGTCGCAAGGCTCCACTGGCAACAGCCGGGGCATCAACTCTTCCACGACGGACTCCGCGGGTACCCACGCCATGGCTTTCAAGCCGGCCCGTCCCACCAGACGCATGCGCGTTACTAACCCAGGTCACAGCGCAAGCGCACACTTTGCCATCTGCGGCGGGGAGAGGAGCCACCGGTAGTTTAACAAGCGTCAGTGCGCATGACCACAACTCCTCCTTGCCGCAGAATTAAGGCTCCCAGGGTGTAATACAAGCTCTGTAAGTTTAGTTCCTAGCAGAAGTGGCTCTGGGTCTTTGACCCTCTGTCGTCTCTTCTAAGGATAGCTCGCATAAAGACTGAGGGTTAGTAACTTATGCATCTTTGATAGGGAGGGATCCTTAAATTTTTTTTTAATTAGTGAACAGTATTACCGTCATCACTCATGGAGCTCGAAATTCTGAATGCCTTGGTTAACATTTATGTACACTTTCATTTAATTCTTAGAACAGCTCTGGGAAGTGGGTGGTAATATTCAGATTTTGTTAGCGGAGGAAGTCAACATAAAGAGGAGCTACTGGGGCCAGACAACTAAGTTCGTGAGCTCATCCTAGAAAAAGTGCTACAAGGCCAGGCGTGGTGGCTCACGCCTATAATCCCAGCACTTTGGGAGACCGAGGTGAGAGGACTGCATGTGTCCATAGGTTCGAGACCAGCCGGGGCAAACTGGTGAGACCGCATCTCTATGATAAATAAAAAAATTAGCTGGGCGTGGTGACACATGCCTGTAGTTCCAGCTACTTGGAAGCCTAAGGTGGAAGGATCACCTGAGTCCAGCAGGTCGAGGCTGCGGTGGCTGTGAGCAGCCTGGGCAACAGAGTGAGACTCCAACTCGAAAAAAAAAAAAAAGTAACTGCTAGGCCGAAAAAAAATTTATAAACAGAAAAAGTGCTACATATCTCATTGCTGAATATCACCAGCACCTAGTTCATCCATCAAGACAATTTTGGAACTCTTGTTCTGGAATGGCCATCAGAGCTGTTGTTGTATTACCCTTGATGTCTTGAATGTCATCAGATTGTCTTCCTTAGTATTTCCTTTATCTTCAGGTAAAGAAAAAAGGCATTGGGGGCCAGATCAGGTTAGTAGGAGGGTGTTCCAAAACAGTTATTTGCTGACTGGCTAAAAACTCCCTCACAGACAGTCTGTGTGAGCTGGTGCTTGTTGTGATGCAAGAGCTCCTTTGGGACCATTTCTGCACATACCTTTCTCATGCCAAAATTTTCAGTTGAGATTTTCCTGTTTCTCTATCAATGTTTACTTAGTCTGCTGTACTTCTTACAGTCAGCTGATGTTTTTGACACACAATTTGATTCATTTTTGTGATGTTTTTGTCAGTTCTGCTCGTTACTGGCCATCCTGACCACTCCATCAGTGATGCTTTCTCTTTCCTAAGAAAAACGCTTAATCCATTTGTACACTGCTGTTTTCTTAATGGCATTATCCCCATCAACTTGGACTAACGTGTCCCTGGTTTCTCTTCCACTCTTGTCAAGTTTAACAGGAAATTTAATGTTTGTTCATTGATGTCATTCAAGCTCAGACATTCTCTCGACAGCACACAAAAACATGCAACAGTAATGAATGTCACTCAGCAAGATACCACCACATGTTGACACAAACATAGCTATGAGACACTGATGTACCAAAGTTATGAAACCTTACTGACTTGTTTGTGCAGTGCTACCAAAGTATGCAAACTTAATTTCGAGTACTTATGAGGTCTGACCTTCTTCCAAAGGGGAAGAACCACTTCCAACCCAGATTTCTCTGATGCCAAATGAATGAAAATTAATTTTTCTGGGAATTGCTTGTGCTTGCCCACTGAAGATCACTGTATGTTTATTTGAAATGAATATTACTCCTAGGGTAGCCAGCACTTATTTTTTTAACTAAAAATCTCTTTGCTTAAATTCAGTTAGTATGAAGGATAAAGTTAATGCAACATCTAGAAACTAGCATTATTAATGTTAGGTCAGTCTTGTGAGGTAGGTACTATTATTAAGCAAGGCAGGAATGGATTAAGTAATTTGAGCTGGGTCACAAGGTGTGAGAAACAAGGAAGTATTATATCTGATTCTTTCTAAACAAATGCAATTGAGTGAATACAATTGATCTTTTTTTCTGATGTCTATGTTTATTTTTAAAGCTTTTTTTTTTTTTTAAGAGCCCCGCCTTTAGCTTGCAAGGAATTGATTTCAAACTAGGATGTAACTTCCTTAACTGAATATAAAGTGAGGATACTTTTTAGCTTAAGAGCTAAGGAATTAACGCTTACTAACTGTAATTGAACAGTTGGAAGACTTGGAAAGACAATAACTGGCTGCAGTCAAACTAGAAGGTTATTTGGTTAAAATTTTTTCATTGATTTTGGGATAAGCCAACTTAAAGAGAAGAAATATGGAGAAATACACCCATCCCCCAACATTTTGTAATAAGCAAGAACAAATTGGAAAAAGTAAGTAATTACTTTATTTCTGAATTTTTTCACAAATACTTTTTTTAACTGTAAATTATTAGTAATTCCCCCCCCCCGCCATTTTTCCAGAGAAAAGAACAGGTGATTACCTTGCCGACCAACTACCAAAGGAATAATGTGTACGATTGGACCCTTTGCATAAGGACGTGTCAGAACTACATAGGGATCAAGGAAGAAAGGAGAAAATAGCAGAATGAAGCAAAGATATTCTGGGGACATAATAAATTATTTTCCAAAAAAAGAGGTGAGTAACAATTTTGAAATGGTTCTGAAATTTTAATTACACAAAAGTGAGTATTCAGGAAAGAGAAAAGTCAGTTAAATAAAAGTTTATGAGGGTAGCTTTCTGCTACTTCAGATTTAATCTGACTTAAAAGAATTAGTTATGAGATTTGGAGCAGGTTTTTTTTTTTTTTTTTTTTTTGAGTTGGAGTCTTACTCTGTCACCCAGATTGGAGTGCAGCGGCCGCTCCCGGCCACCGCAGCCTCGCCTGCTGGGCTCCGACAATCCTTCTACCTCAGCCTTCCAGGTAGCTGGAACTACAGGCGCGCGCTACCACACCCAGCTAATTTTTAAATTTATTGTAGAGATGAAGTCTCACCAAGTTGCCTGGGCGGGTCTCGAACCCGCGGGCTCAGGCAATCCACTCACCTCAGCCTCCCAAGACGTGGGATTACAGGCTGAGCCACTGAGCCTGGCTTGGAGCAGCTTTTTAATATGATTATAAATCAGAAATTGCAATGAGTATGTTTGAATCTTTCAGTGAAATATGGGACAACTGAGAATAAGCTCTTTTTGGCTAATGACGTTATTATGAAAAAATGTTTAATTTTTGGAAAAGTGAACTGAAAATATAATAACCATTTTATTCAACCTCTTCCCAGGAATGTTATTCCTAATATACTGAGCTACTGCTGCTGACCTGTTTTTAGAGATTTACAGTCAGCTTTCCATTTATGATAGAAAAACTTTTGTTTCAATATTTCTCATATCAGTGGTTGGCTTTAGGAGTTATATAAGGATAGTGAGAACAAAACACTCTGTTGAGTGTATTGATGATGTGGCACTTTGATGATGTGGCTGTTTATAGATGATGGTGGCCTCTGTTAAGTCAACCTTACACAGCTAACTGCAAAGTTTGTTTCTGTGTTTTCTATCCCTTTAAGTGCTTACATATTCTCAAATGTTAGTGTGTATGTGAATTATCAGCAGGAATTTATTTAAAATATAGAGTCCGGGGTCCTATAATTCTGTTGATTGTGTGTGGGACTCAGAATTGGACATTTTAAAGAAGCATTCCAGATGAAAAACATAGCTTAGCCTATTCATTTTATCCTTTTTTGCTCCCTATTCTTTAAGATCTACTACAATATAATTTTTTGTTATCCCATGCTTTCTCAGTTCCCTCTTCCTTAGTCACAATCAAAAGTTTCACTTGCATTAAACCTAAATTCAGTTATCCAATTAATATTTATCAGTTTCCTATGTTCCAGGCTCTGTGGTAGTCACTAGGAGTTACGGTGGTGATTTCTTCTTTCATGGTGAATACAGTCTAGTGGACAAAGAGACATTGTAAATTTTAACTGTGATGATTCCCATTACAGAAATGTTGAAGGGGGAGAAAGAGCCTTGTAGTATGGAAATATATGAAGGCCAACCAGAGCTGGGCTCGGTGGCTCAGCCTGCAATCCCGCGCCTTTGGGAGGCTGAGGTGAGTGGATTGCCTGAGCCCGCGGGTTCGAGAACCGCCTGGGCAGCAAGACCTCATCTCTACAAAAAATCAAAAAATCAGCCGGGCGTGGTAGCGCATGCCTGTAATTTCAGCTACTTGGAAGACTGAGGAGGAAGGATCGCCGGAGCCCAGCAGGTCGAGGCTGCGGTGGCCGGGAGCAGCCACTGCACTCCAGTCTGAGTGATAGAGTGAGACTCCAACTCAAAATAAAATAAAATAAAATAAAATAAAAAGGCCAACCAAATGAAAACAAATAAAGGCTTGCTATAGGAAGGGAGTCAGCCACCACCACTTATATTTTGGCAGAGGTAAAAGACAAGCAGAGGAATGGGAAAGATTTGTAGTGGAAAAAAAAGAAGGTTTCAGATATGCCCTGATTGGAGGCTGTTGGCTTGGAGATACTGTAGGGGGTCTAACTAAAAGGGGGCATCCAATACATTTGGGGTGCATTTTGGCTTTCCTTGGTTGGTCCTAAATTGGAAATGGAGATGCAAATTAGGAAAACTGTCAGTTACTAATCAAGTCCTGGACATTTTTTGCTAAATATTACAGGAGTTATTGTATAGCTTCCTGGATTAGTTGCTAGAGATAGCAGACTGCCTTCCTATAGGTCTGACTTATAGCAGACTGACTTCCCAGCTTGATTACTGTAGATAATGGGTTGGTTTCCTGGGCTGATAGCTACAGATTGTGTGACAGAATATCTATCTATCTATCTATCTATCTATCTATCTATCTATCTATCTATCTACATCATCATCATCATCTGTGATCTAGCCATTGTCTGTTTGTATATTTAGTCTTAGCATGTTGAGGAAAAATTTGTTTAAAGTCTTGTTGCTAGAGGAAGTAGGTCATGTTGGAAAATTGAAAGGTCAGTATGGTTACATGCA